CCGCTCATAGACGCCGGTTCTTGTAGGACTGAATAAATCTATATGAAACAACTCAAGAGGTGTTTAGTTGAAATAATGTTTTTACTTTTGAAAGATTCCTTGACCTGTTTGCCCTTCATGCAAGCGCTAGAGATGATTGTATCATTGAATGATACTTCTGGTAGTCCTCTTACGAGATCATGGCATTGCAAATTTGAGATTAATCTCATGTTTTCATGTCTACAGTTATTATGCCATGTTACTACCTCATCTTTCATAGATATAAGACATGAAACACTTTGAGACTACATTTCATCTAGGTTTATTTTGTACAATCTTATTAGCTGTAAATACATGAATTTCTAATCATCTAAGACCTACATTGGCTTTCAAAACAACAGTATATCATTATCACATAATTGATTTATGCTAAGCAGATTATGTTATTGGCCATATACTAGAAAACATTATCAATGTAGAGGGAGAGATTTGTACCTATCTTTCCAATTCCTATGATTTTTCCATTTTGGTTTTCTCCAAACGTTATCGATCCTCTTTTCTTGCTCCTTAGGTCTAGGAATATAGACTTTTCTCCCGTTATGTGACGTGAGCAGCCACTATCCAAATACCATGATAGGGTTCTTTTTTAGGTCATTAAGCATATCTGCGAGAGGAATTATTTCACTCTTAGGTACCCATATTGAATTGGGTCTTGGTTTGTTAGATGCTTACATTTTCTTCTTTTCAGAAGATATTGTATCAACATTTGACCTAGTGAACCTAGTATGTTTGGTTTTTGTTGATGGATTTTGTGTTTGATCTTTTATAACCTAAGTCTCGTTTATTATAAGGGTGCCTACTTCTTTAAACAAAAGATCTAGCCTAACATTCCCTTTAAGTATTCTACTCAATATCTTATTGAGAGTATCATTTTCATACCTAAGGGATTCGATGTGTTTGACATCTTTGGCTACAACTACATCATCTACAAGTTTTTTATTTATCAAAGTAGTTTTCTCTTGTTCCTGTTCATATGTATTCATCTCTTTCCAAAAAAATACTAACGTTTCTATATAGTAACTTCACATTATCTCTAAATGAAGTTACTTTCTCTTTTAAGGTGTTGCTTTCTACAAGGAGTTTTTTTTCTTTGTTTACATAAGACCCTATGTGTGCTAGATAGTTTAGATGAACATGAGAGTGATTCCTAGTATGCATGTATAACCGAGTGTAGGTTAGAGAAATCTACCTCGTCATCAGAGTTGTCTAATGTACTCTCAACGTTTCCTACCACAAGGCACACTTTTGTGTCTTCATCCTCGTCAGATGTGTCCAGGTCTTCCTAAGTTCTCATCAACATCTTCTTTTCATATTCGGGCCTGGATGACTTCTTAATATTTTCAATCTCGGGACATTCTGATATGAAATGCCCAGGTTTATTACACTTATAACAAATAGTTGTGTCTTTCAGTCGTCTGTCTTTTAAATTGTTCTTTGAGCCAGATCCGAAGCGTCTACTCCGGAACATCATGCTCTTTTTCTTCTCCACATAGAATGAAGCTTTCTCAAAATAAATGAGACTCCTATTCTTCGGTCTCGTTCATGAAGTCTTTTTCATCGTCGGACTCCTCGGAGGATTCATCAGTTATGAGAGTTTTTATGGGTGTCATCTAAACAAAGTAAATATTTTAGCTCGTGGTATCGTCTAGTTTGTTGTAAACGCTTTTTGGGCTATTGCCTTTTTATAGCTAGAGCATTTTGTAAGTTTAGTTTTCACATATTTGGATTTTCTTTATTGAGACACTTGAGGATTTTACCAAAAACATTGTCTCGATATTCAACATCCCTTATCCTGTTGAGAGTTTAATTTTTACCGTTGGATTACACTATTCCTACGCGTTAGAACAACTCTCTTAGACGCTTTGACTTATAAGTTGTTTAACGTTGTGTATGGATGTTTTAACATAGTTGTTTTACATTTCATATGACCCTAAGTGTTTTCCTAAGGCTTTTTTATGTTGCTAGATGATTAAGGATTTTGTTCCAAGCACTTATGTTTATGCCTATCCTATTCTTCTGGTTAAGCATTTTCAAATTCTTATCTCGTTTAATGTTATTTGATTAAACTTCAAAACATGATAGCGTTTAGACATATAAGTCTTATAGACGATTTTTTCTTAACAACATAACCAAACATAAAATGAAAAAGAAGAGAAAGACTAACCTAAAAATGAAAAACACCACAAACACCACAAAATATGGAAACCTAATGGCAAAAAATAGAATGTTCAAAGGAGAAGCAAGAACTAGAACCATGAAAAACATAAACATATGAGTAAAGGGGTTTGAGTGCCCAACAACCTCTCCATTCCTAAAGCACTTAAAATGCAAAACACTATTCCATTGAGTTTGGACGTGAACAAGTGCTCACTTTAGGTTGTTGGCTTTCATTTTTGTTTTTTCTCTTTCACGGTAATGAATTCGTCTAAGATCATTGCAATTCTATTTGAATTTCGTTTACTGTGTTAATGTCTTGTTCCTTTAGTTTTTCTTGCTTCTATTGTTCTGCCAATATCATTTTATGCTTGAATTTAATGTTGTTGCACTAAATTTCGTTTTCACCTTACAATTTCGCTTGCTTTGCTGTTTCAATTCCAATTATGTTTTCCAGATTAATTTTACTGCTGGGTGTCGTTCTGGAGTGTGTTCCTCTGTTTCGTATCCATAAGGTGTTTCTTACTGAATTTTATGTATTTCGTTTTGTGTTTTTCGTTTTCTATTTTTAAGGAAGCTTGCAATTTGTTTGGGTTGGACACTTGGGATGTTGGATTGTTTTCATGATATTATTGTTTCGTTTTGATTATGCTATCTTGGCCTTGCACAATGGTATAATTTGTTTCGTTTGTTACAAATTGGTCACACATAGTGGTTAGGTTTGTGTGCTTGAAGCTACGGTTGTTTAATCTATAGTGTAGAAGTATTGATTATGTATAATTGTGTTTGCTTAATTCGCAGTTCATGAAAACTGTTTTAGTCTTCGCTTAGTGTTAATCGTGTGATTAGGGGTGAGAGGAGCGGATAATTATTGCTAATCAAGGATTGAAATCATTGTAATTGAACTAGTGGTCAATTTGTCTTTAATTTGTATTTAATCTGATCATTTCCTGTGTTTAATTCAATTCGTGAAACTGTTCAAATTCCGCCCCCCATTATGTGTTTGATCCTTTGACTGAACTACATTTGATCCTTGATAGACTATCTAGGGGTCATTCCCTAGTTACTACATTTAATCTGCACATTCAATTTGAGTTGAGCGCAACATCGATGATTAACTACCTATGGAGAATCCTCTCCATTCCTAGAGTGACATGTGACACTAATTAGGAGGAAAAAATCTCCAAAGGGAGGAGGACACATGGCTTGGATGTCACACACCTCCTTGTCCACCAAGATAGCTTGAAAACTTTAACCCCTTGGTCAAACTAGCTCCTTGGACATTCGCTTGGGTCAACATTGGGCATTGGCCCTTTGTTGACTTAACCACATTTTGTCTTTGAAAGACGACGTAGGAGTCATTTCTCGTTACTGCATTTAATCTGAACAATTCAATTTGAGTCGAGGCGGGACCTCGACGATCAACTACCTATGGAGAATCCCCCTCCAATTTCCTAAAGTGACATGTGACCACTAATTAGGAGGAAAACTCTCCAAAGGGAGGAGGACACATTGCTTCGACGTCACACACCTCCTTGTCCACCAAACTAGCTTGAAAAACTTTGATCCCTTAGTCAAACTAGCTCCTTGGACGTCGCACTTGGGTAAACATTGGGCATTGGCCCTTTATTGACTTAAGTAGTCAAAAATCCTATTCTACTTGGCCTAAAATATAAGTTTCAAAATAAAACCTATACTACTAGGTCCATAATACAAAGCTCAAAATAAATCATATATTTCTATTCTAAAAACTTCATGATAGTTCAAGATGACCTAAGAGAGTCCAAAAAATAGAGTATAGGTTTATCTTCCATATATGATTTTAACTCTTCTTAAAAGTATTTGGCCATAACTAGAATTATGTCATCAATTAGGATGGGTTTCCTCGAGTCCAAAGAGATTATGTTGTCCTTTGTTCCTTCCCTCTTCCCTTGGTTGCAATGGTACGATTGCATTTGAATTACCAAAGACTGGATTTACGGATATGCGACAAACCATTGTAGTTTCATCTGCTGGGTGTACATGAAATATCCGAATAACATCTTCCTGCAATGAGCTTTCCAGAACTCTATTTTAATACTTCCGAAATGAGCTCTTCTGATAGTAAAACTACTCTTACGAAAATATGAATACAGAAATACATTTCACACCTCCCAACCAATTCCAGATTACCTTTTGGAAGCATATTTCCGGATTTCATTCTCCGGCAAGTTTAACTTTCCCATTTCAACCAACACAACATCAAAACGGCGTTTATCTAACGTTTCACAAAACCATCGAGAACTTCCACGACGCTTGCCAGAGTAATCTCTCCACGTACTACAGCAGCCTCACAAACCACCCGTCTCATAAAGGAGACTAGTTCAAAATCTGGCAAGGAAATAAATGGAATCCAAGAAATACGGGGGTGCAAGGAAATAGTGATGGGGTGCTGCAGGAAGAAAAAGAAATCGTCAAGAAAGAAAAATTAGGCGGTGTAAGCTTATCTGTCATTTGGACTCATAATGGGGCTATGATAAAAAACTAAAATTAACGTTTTTATTTAATTGACCGTGAAAATTAACTGATTTTTTTCACCTTAAATTTATTTAAAAAACACTAATCAGTCCTAAATGAACATACCCAATTCTTAACATAGTCTATATACTAGAACCAACCTAAATTCATCCCATTTTTGAGAGATATTAATGCAACACAGTCCACAAAAGTAATCAGTGTATATGAAGGCTAATGAACCATTGATAGGAAATGATTAATTGCAGGGAATATTGGGTTGCCTAATAAACAACTTCAATTAAAGGAATGAGGATTGCAAGTTATATAGGAGCTACGTTTACAGTATAAAGACCCAAATATAACTAACAGGATTTTTAAGTATTACAAATTGAAATCCACTTACCTGGTTTGGATGAAAATCTAAAACGGAAAAGCTTACAAACAGCTTAGAAAGCAAGAGCATTTGGATTTACTCCCAGTAATAACCTCAAATGAATTTACACAATAATTTTACAACCTTCATACAAGTGAGTTCAATAGAAAGACCAGTTAATCTGTTAATCAGCTCTCCATAACTGGAAGGCTCATTCATCAATGCCAGTATAACCACAAAGGGCAACATTCCAATCCTTCTTCCAACTTTGGATAATTCATGAAAGCACAACAGAAACATGTTTGTATATCACCCTAATCAAATGAAAATTCCATGGAAGTTATTAGACATTGAAGACCTTCAGCCAACAAAATCATGCACCAGTTGTCCTCCAATGACATCTCTTCCAAAATGCCTATTCTGTGACTCATATCCACTCATCACATAGCCTTCATTGTTGGTTTCAAGAGCAACACCAAATCGCTGTGCTGCATTCAGGCTAAAAGGTTCAGCCAAACCAATGCCATGATTTTGATGAAGTCCTAGTGTGAGTGACACACTATTGCTTGCACTGCCACCCATGCTCACTTCAACACCCCCTGGCTGATTGCTTGTGCAGGGAAGATTCAGTTGTTCCTGAGTCCGAACTGGTATGTTGGTAAGTTCGTCTGTAGCTCGCTTGTAAGGAGGACCCTGAAACTTTTCTGTTGAGCCAGATGGATTCTCAGAAACAATGGAGTTATCGTAATTGATCACTTGACTTGTTCCTGCAATGTTCTTCCTTCTGTGAATTCTTTAAATTTTGAGCCTGCCGTGTTTCTAGCATATGTATTTCTTCCACCATTGGTTTCCAGAGCCTTACTCTTGCATTAATGAACCAATTAGACACCTGCACACATATAGGAATTGCCAAACATTAGAAGAACAAACCCCTTGATCGATAAGAATGAAAAGATTAACTACATTTTGGGTATAGACAAGTTTTTGAGAAATACACTCATGAAACTAGCAACACATGTGAATATTTTCTTCAAAACTAAGTTAAACCAAAAGACGCTTACATGTTGGTTATCAATAATATTTACCTGGCTACGAGAAAGACCAGTTTGTTTAGCCAACATTAGCTTGTCTGTATCAGTAGGATAACTGGAAAAGAAAAAGAATAACTAAGCTAACAAAACACAATACAATAAAGGAGGTAAAAGTGTGTAGATGCATAATGCTTGGTTTTGGCAGGGGAGCAAAAGGATCATGATGTCACCTGCACATTCAGATTTGACTTCACTTAAAGGGTAAACAAGTAATGTAAGTTATGAGAAATCATTGGTTGTTGTTATGCATGTTTACGCAAAATCAACCGTTGATTTTCTCATCAACATTACTTTAGCCTCTTAAGCAAGCTGGCTTACTTTAAAGGAGCTAGATCCAGCAAGAAGTTACTCGTGATTCATATAAAAGTATGGAACTTACGGATGCAAAAAGTGCTCAAACAACCATGCTCTGAGAACAGACACAGCACGCTCGGGGAGTCCTCTTTGAGGCCGCCAAACAGGTTGGTGCTCAAGAAACCCTGGCCTTTGGCTGTAAGGGCCTCTATCACTGTTGCCAAACCTTGAAGATTCATCCTTCCTGTTGCTGATGTGAAAATGAGCTTTATTGGCAAACTGAAGTTGGTCAGTAATTGCATTCTTCAAGCATCTAAAATGTTTGGACATGGCTTTTATTGCCAAACTTGCATAAGGAGCTGCATTGCGAAGGCCTGAAACATACTCAAATGATGTTACTACTGCGTGCATCTGCTGATAGTATTGCCTGTACCTCCTGTAAACCTGTTCAGGATAAATGAACAACATGAAAATCACAATTAGGACACTTAAGCAATCCAACAAACATCTTATACTCACTTAGGCACCCCATAATACCTCAAGTCCCTATCAAATACCCATGGCTCTATGTCATTCACATGTTAATCTCCACATCTTACATAAACATATTTACCAAGACAATCTAAGAAGGCAAACAAATTAAATGAAAACCACATAAAACAGAACCTATACTTGAATCTCACAAACTTGTCAATTTCCTAGCCTTTACATCCAATTACTTTGAACCTAAAAGGCCAAATAGAGAATTGAAATAATATGCAGAGTATTGTAATCTAAATAGAGAAAGTTCCCATCATCATAGAAACAATTTGGAAGAAACTACATCCATTATAAATTCATAGCGTTGAATTTCAGAGACAGATTTTCTGAGTGCCACACATTTACTTGATCGAATCCTCCAAATGAGTAATTACATAACAGAGAAAGGGATCATCTTTTAATTGTTTGGGAGAACAGCTAAGTGAGAGAAAAATAAAACAGTTCCACTTTACCTCACTGAAATTAGAAACAAATTTCATCCATGAGAAACGTATGAAATCTAATATACACAAAGAAAAAGAAATATTGAACTTCACTGTTTCACTATTTCATATAAGTTTATGGTCACCGTCATGACTTTTACACTAACCACATCCCTTGAACTGGTTGGGAATTCAAACGTGAATCTAAGTCTTGCATAATCCAAATATAAATCTAAGTCTCGCATTGGATAAAATTGAGAAAGTATAATATTATACAAAAGATTAAAAATTTATTAACCTTAAGATTTTGGATAAATATATACTTGGCTCAGATATTAGCTCAGATATTAGTGATATTGAGTACTCAAATTTTTATATTTTCAGTTAAGAAATGTAAGATTTGGTGGTTATATAAAACAATATTATGGATAATATAAAACGATAAGTAATTTAATTGTTTTAATCGAAAACATATTGAATTGTTATGATCTCCAATGACTTCCATGTCATCACTTATAGTAATTAAGGTATTTCTGACCCACAATTGATAAAGATAAAGACGATTATTTCTTATTATCCAAGTCATTATCATTTAACATTAATCATAATATCGTTTTAGATTATAACCACAAAATCTTACATTATAGACAAATGGAGACAAATAATCAAAGCAAAGACACAAAAAAACAGTTACGGTAAATCAGCTAACAGAAAAGTAAAATAACAAATACTAAAATGAAAAATATAAAATTTTAAATAGTGAATAGAATAGATAAAAAAAATTAATAAAAACTCAATTAAAAATATTCAAATATATAAGATACTTAAAACTTAATTAACATTAATATCCATGTCTTTAGTGTATAAAGATCACAAACCATGTGTATGACACATATTTGTTACAATTTATGATTAGTGTAGTGAAATAAAAAATAGTAACAAATAAAATCAATATCCCAATTCGNTAACAGTTACGGTAAATCAGCTAACAGAAAAGTAAAATAACAAATACTAAAATGAAAAATATAAAATTTTAAATAGTGAATAGAATAGATAAAAAAAATTAATAAAAACTCAATTAAAAATAATCAAATATATAAGATACTTAAAACTTAATTAACATTAATATCCATGTCTTTAGTGTATAAAGATCACAAACCATGTGTATGACACATATTTGTTACAATTTATGATTAGTGTAGTGAAATAAAAAATAGTAACAAATAAAATCAATATCCCAATTCAAATACAGAATCAATACATCCACCCATTATGAGATCACTTTCTTGCAAAAACAAACTTATTTAGTGTAAAAGATTAAATTGTATAGTTATTCCTGATTTTGTATGACACCTTGAGAGGACCAGTAATAAGGTTCACACTTGTAAAAAAGTTGTAAAAAAAAACATTTTCCGAGCATCTATCAAAACAATCATTAAAAAAAATAATGAGAACTTTACATAAAGGTAAAACACCTTGCAATCCAAGTATGTAAGTTTCTTTAACCTTTGAAGCTCATGATCATATCACCACACACTTTTTAGGAGTATAAATCTTTTCCGATGGATTCCTTCAACACCTTTATGCAAATTATCCTCCCAAACTGGGTGACATAGTCACACATTACAAATCTTTATATAGTTGACAGACACTTTACAAGCCAATCTTCGTGCATATATTCCCTCCCATTAACTTTTCCAAAAGGACAATTGAGTTCACCAAGGCCATCCATCACAGAAAATACAAGAATCTTGATGATGCACACATTTCCACAGTTAAAACACCATTCACAAAAAGATAAACTACAATGACATAATCACAAAAAATAACAACACACTTCCTCAATGCAATTAATAAGAACCTTCCCCTTTGAAGGAATCACCAGCCTTACATTAAAAACCTCAAAGATATTACGAAAACTACAGAAATCTGCAACTCAACAACACATTTTTCTTCTGCATAACCTAAACTAGAACAATAAGTGAAACCAGAACTAAAATTGAAATCATCGGGAACATCAAACATGAACAGATAAAAGTAACACCCCTTCACCAAAATTTTCAACTCACAACAACACAAACCGAAAGATTTACAGAAAAGACACAAACCTCGTCAAGCATAGTTAACAGTCTTGACTTTTTCCGACCATGGTCACCCCCGTGATCCCCAAGTAGATCTTCACTTGAATTTTCAGGAGGAGGAAGAGGAACAGGTTCCATCAATGATGCATCAGCCACCATCTTTTCAGCACAGACTCCACCAACATCACATAACTCTTCCAATAATTGCTGTGCAGGTTTCAGGAACCTCGATCCCTTCAATATAGAAGCATAACCAGTAAATGGCCCCATAGGCACCGTGCACCTAGAAGCTTCATTCAATCCAGAACCACCATAAACCACACATCCACCACCGCCACCAACCCCACAAACCTTATCACCACAAACCACAGATCCATATCGCTGAAGATTCACACCGTTGCTATGTGATGAGAGAGACAAAGACAAAGGCTCAGGCTTAAACACCATGATCTCACTACCATTATTATTATTATAACCCTGGTCAAACTCTCCCAGGTTCTGTGCTTGGTAAAGAAACATGTTGTTGTTGTTAATGACCTGAATTGTAGCTTGGTTCAGAGGCAACGAGGATTCAGGATCCAAATAAGAAACCGAAGAGGAGTTAGAAGAACAACACAAAGAAGAAGAAGAGCCATTGTTCATGACTCCTCCACCTTCACCTCCTCTGCCTGCAAAACCCATCATCAAATTTGCACGTTCTTCCTTCACGCCACAACCCAAGTTGTGTTTGTGGCTGTTGTGGAAGCTCGTTAGCAAATCAGAAGATATGAACGAAGAAGGGTCGTACAAAGGAAGCAAAGTGGAGGGTTCAACGAGACCATGTTGGTTCTGTGTCACCACGACTCTTAGCTTATCTCTTCTGCTTTGCTGTGGCACATGGTAAGCCTCAAAACCCTCAGCCATAGAAACACAAAACCAAGCAAACAAACAAACACAACTGAAGCTCCTCAACACAAGTTAGGCAGAGAAGAGTGTGTGGAGTCACGATAAAACGAGAGGAAAAAAGAAAGGGTGTGTATAATTGTGATGTTATTATGGAGCATGATAGAGAAAGACAGTGATTTAGCTTTTTTTTCTGTGTATGTAACTATATACTAAGTTTGTTGGATATGTTTGATTTTAAGGAGAATTAAGTTAAGGTTTTTGCGTTTGTTTTCGCAGCAGGAACACTCAAATTTCTTCTTTGGTCTTTTCTTAGTTTCTCTATGGCTACAGTGTTATGGCTCAGAGTGAACAACACAGATTCTCTCTTCTCCCTTCAAAACAAGGAACAAAGTGCAAACACTATAAGGACGAAGACCTATAGGGTTTTCAGAGGGATGGCCACCGGCTATTCCCGGTAATGGCTGATGTATAGTGTATGTATTTATGTGTGTCTACTCCATTCTTTCTCCCTGGGTTGCAGGTAGGTCTGACACAGCTTCTGGCTTTTGTCGTTTTCCTAACCCTCTTGCTTTATCATTACTTTTTTTTATTTACTATTTTTAATTCATTAGAAAATATTAAAGACTATGGTTTAATATATAATATTATCTTTATTCCTTTCCTTCTATCCAACAAAAGTTATATTGTCATGCTCTGGTTTATCTATTAAAACTTTCTTAGATGAAATTTACCTGTCTAAACGAATTTCAATTTCATTTATGATTTAATGATTTTGATGTTTTACAACATGTTTAATGACATTTTTGGTATTTATATTTATAATACTTTAATATTTTTTATTTTTTATTTAATTTATTTTTTGTATTTTTTTAAGAAAACTCAGTTTGATTTTTTCATTCTTTAATAAGTGTTAATGTTATTTTTCTCGTTTTATTATTGAAATTAGATAAATAACTACATTAAAAAAGTAAGTGATTATTTTTTTAAAATTTATCCAATAAAATGAGGTATATATAGTTCTTTTAAAAAGTATATAAATCATTAAATAAAAAATAAAAAAAAAGAATACATTAAATACTTATTATAAATATCAAAATGAAAAATCTTATTAAACTTTATAAAATATATTAAAAACAATATAATTAAAAATCTAACCATATAAAAGATGTGGATGAATGTAATTAAAATGAAATTTCTCTTCATCATTAGTCTAAATAAATGAAAGAAAAAAAAACTATTTCATTAAATTAAACATTTTATACTAAATTCTCAATATAATAACTTTTATAAATATATATCTTTTATTTAATCCTATTAAAGTTTAAATTAGTCTTATAAATTAAAATAAATCAAAATCAAATGTATAAAAGCTCGCTCAAGATATAATATCTTAATTTTCATAATGTTCATGATGACATATCCTTTAGTCATAGTCAAACATTTTAAATAAGAGTTGAAGTCATATTTAGAAGAAGAGTCTAAACTCTATCTCTTGGTCAAACACTTTCAATGTAAGGTTTTTACGTCTAGTTCCTACAAATTAAGAGACACTCTTAGGTTATAAATAAATATGTCTCTCACTGTATTCATATGTTGTCAATTTTGAGTCATATTACTATAATTAGGTTATTCTAGACTAGAGTAACCCTAACTTATTTTTTTAAGAAATTTATTAACTAGATTAAAAGATCTTGCCACAATAATTACGTTGTCCCTTCTAATATTTAAAAAAAATGACCTAATAAATAAAATATTTTAATATTATAGAAAAAAACTATTTTAAAAGAAATAATGAAATAATAAAACTCATCTTAAAAATTAATACTTTAAACTTTTAAATTAAAATATTCAAATCTCATTGTTTAAGTCAAGTTTACTGTTTTAAAAAATATAATATTAATTTTATATCTATATTGTGTTTGCAACCAATCTACCACTACTTGTTAAAATGATTTCAGTGTAAGAAATATATAATTTAAAAAGTAACTGAACTTGACTTGAGTTGAACAATATTGTGCCGTTAATAAAAATAATAACAAAAAAAAATCGACATACATTTCATCTAAAACAAAAGGCAACAGCTACTTAAACAGAAACCTGATTTGATTTAACCAATTTAATTTTTGCTCAAATAATGTAATGTCATGTCATTTTCCCAGTATGAATAGAAAACGTCAATTTCCTGTGGAAGCTTTAATAAATAAAATAATTATATTTATTTTCAGATAAACTATAGCTTTCGTTATTTTCATAAAAAGTTTAAAAACAAATAATTAGTTATTAAACTTACCCATAGTAGAATGTGAGCTAAAAAGTGAATTAAATATTTTAAAAAATATATAAAGTGTGATGAGATGAATGATAGCGACAGTGATGGAGATGACGCACGTGAGAGAAAGGAACAGTGAGATGAAAGAAAGGCTGAGTTTACCCTTCTCCGCACTCATCCGACAAACCTATACACTCATTTTTGCCTCACTTCATCATGTTACGAGGTTTACACCATTTCTTTCTTTTGTTTTTACTATAATTAATAAAAATGATTTAATAGTATTTTCTTTTCATAATATGTGTATTGTAATGTACGGTACCTAGGTACCGTAAGTCTCTTTTCGAGTTGATAGTCTGAGTCAATATCAGACTAATTATTTGGTCGATTACATTATTCAAATCGAACGGTTTTGTTTAGTTCAACACTAGGCTAACTACTCCGATCGACTATTCACACTAACGGATCATTCCGACTAAACAGACAACATGAGTAGATTATAAACTTTAAAAACTCATTAAAGTCCCTAGTGGAGATTAAGGTGTGATTGAGTCATCATTAGGCCGGTAAAAGATAAAAGTTTATTATAACTAGTATAAATAAAGGTCTTAGGTATGACTTCAGACCAGGATGCAATAGATACATGTATTACATACCGCTGGATCACATTTCTAACTTGAGCGTCAAAGTGCCTTTGACAGGTGTTCGCCCGTCCGCCATGGAGAAAAAGGAGGAGGAGGACGTCCCCCTGAAGTCCGTGGAGCGACGCCCGATTGATCTTCAACCTAGAGCATGGAGAGACGCCTGTCCGACCGCCCACGAATCTGTCTACCCTGCCAAGGATCATCCAATCATCAGAAACCGGTCTTCAATGCCCATCTGATTTTTAATGCAACCAAAAGTATTTTAGCGGAAACATCCAAACCTGACTGAAACATGTATTAAGACATTATTTCGAAGGAACATACTGCCTTTAGTATAATTAATATTGGAATCATTTATTTCAATTTTGTTAACAGTTGAGACATTGATTATGTTATATATTAATTACACTTTAATAAAAAAAAATGTGTGGCTAATATGTCATTAATCTTTAATAGGATTTTCTATTCTTAAAAATTAATTAAATTTTTGTTAAATATATTCTCATTCTCATTCTATTATAAATATATATATATATATTAAATTAAATTATAAAATATTTCATTCGAGAGTTATATAATTTTACTTTTTAATAAATAAAAACTATATTTTGTCGTAAAATTTTATTCATCACATAAAAATACTTTTATGACTTTTATAAAAAATTTTGACTAGATACTAATTAGTTTAAAAAAAAGACATATTTTTTTTATAATGATTTGATAAAAAAATATTGTACCTTAACATTTTTTATTATATTAAAAATAAAATATGTAAATATTTCTTATATTTATTCTATTTTTGATATAGTTAAAATTATATTTTTTATTATTTAATATTGTTATAACGTTTTTATTATAAATTTCATGAAGCAAATATATTAACTTATTTTTAAAAATGAAATTAAACTAAAAATATTTAAAATAATAGTCTAAAACCTAAAAAGTTATCATAATAATAAGAACTCCATGAAAATAATATAATAATTGTGGTTAACACAAACATGAATCAATGAGGACCAACCTAACAATTAAACAATTACTTAAATCTGTAGTCGGAAGTAAAATTCATGATGGCTTTTGCGTAATTGATCGACACGTATTTCTTGTAGTCAAACTAATTAGGCAAAATTATTAGATTAATATAATGATGATGTGAATTGTGTGATTGAGCAATCTTAGTGTTGTCAGCAAAATGACTAGTAGATTAATTCATATAATTATCTTCAATTGATTATTGTTTTTATGATATTTATGTTATATATAATTATAATGATGTATTACAACATCTTAATTAGATTAATATCACAAAACACATCGATTTTTGTGATCATATAGAAACTATTGATAAAAAATAATAAAAAAATTAAACTAAATTTATACAAAAACAATTAAGAATAAACTTCTTTTAAAATAAGTTATACAACTTTAAACCATAAAAAAAATTATATTTATTATAAAAAAAAATCAATAATAATCCTAAATACTATAATATTATTATACTCATATGATTAAGTCTTTATTAATTTATTTGACATTAAGAATTTTTTTATTTAGTACATATATGTATCGTACGACTATCTAACTAGCTAAAGACTAGGTGATCCAGAATTAATGTGTTACGACATTGATAGGTCATACCTTTAGGACGATCAAACAGTCATAAGCCTTAAAGAGCCTTAAGTACAACCTGAATCGAGATTATAGGTAAAACATACTTAATATGTATTAGGCTATGATTATAACTGTGTTAATCACAAGTCTATCTCAAAATCTATAAATATGAGTATAGGGTAAGAATGTAGGTGATTGCATTTATTGTGAATTTAAGACTTTACTGTGATAACCGATCGACTATATTACTGACTTGAGCGTCATAGTTCCTTTGATAGGTACCTGCCCACATAGTTTGGAGTTGAAACATTAAGGACCTAGGAAACCAAGAATCAACAAATGGATAAGGTGGTTGATGGAATACAACCCATCCATGGACCCAATAAGGGATCTAACATTTGTAGTATGATGAGAAGAATACAAGAGGAAAGTGTAGAACATAAAAAAAGGGAAAAGAGGAGCAAATTCATCATTTGGAAGAAACTACTTACGCCCAACATAGGCAGTTGTTTGCCTAGTGCCAACATGTTTGGGAACTTCATATATGTCTTGCTGCTAGAGTAACGCTCAACACTAACCCCATGTCGTTCAACATTGCGTCTTGCATTTACACCATGTTGCTGATTTACGTTCCACATGTTGGCTCATGCTTTTCACTCCTTATACACTTGACACTTGATCCTTAAGTCACGACTGATCATCAGTCAAATGGAGACAATTTCCAAAGCATTGAGATTTCTTTAAATACCATGCTCATTACTAGAATTGAGAACTTTCAAGATAAATTAGAATTGATTTCCTATAGAGATCACTCCAGGTCTATTATCCTTTTGAGAGTTATCAAGAGAGAGTTTGAGAACCCTCTAGCCTCTCTT